TTCACCTCCCCCTTTCTGCCCCAAGTTGCTTCCAAGTCAGTGTGCCTTCTCACACTGCCCTTAGAAGATGAAATGTCACCTCCTCCAGCCCCATACAGATGCCATTTTGAACGCATTTGTGTCAATGTGTGTTGAAAGCCTCTGGGACACCTCAGGAGATAACTTCAACTGTCCCCATCCCCCTTTGCCTTTTCTTCTGACACTGTTGCTGTTTAAGAAATTACACCAAAGCTTCAAGGTCTCCCTAAAACATTTTATTTTGCTTATGACTTTGTGGGTCAGGAATTCAGGAAGAGCTTGGCATGGCAGTCTTGGCTGGGGGGCCCTTTTGCAGTTGCATTTGGATAGTGGCTGGGAACTGACTGTCTGGGCTTGATGTGTAAGATGGCGCTCCGTTGATGGTGGCTGTTGGCTGGGAGCTCAGCAAGGCTAAGGACCAGATACCTATTTATAGCCTCTCCAGGTTGGCAATATCAAGATTGGTAAAACCAAGCAAAGTTTCACAGCCTTTTCTGACCTAGCCCCAGGCCAGGGGAGGGAGCACAGACCCGTCTCTGCCTAGGAGAAGTGTCAAATAATTTGTGAATATACTTTAATTATTGCCGATCCCACCAGTATGGGATCCTATTACAGTGTCTAGAACACCCTTCCTTCAGGACCATCTTCCCCGAGAGGACCTTGGCTACCCCAGCCCCATCAGAACATTTGGGTTGAAGCTGGGAGATTCTTCTTCCCAGGGCTCTGAGATGGCCACTCTGCTGCTGCAGGGAGCCACGAATCTGGACTGGACTCTGCTACTGTGTCCCCTTGGGGAAGTGATCTCACCTATTGGGGCCCCAGTTTCTTCCCCACAAAGTGGAAATTAGGAATACCCTCATTTCACAAATTGTTAGGGTTTGTTTGTTAATGATGTAAATAGTACACTCAGTACTTTGTGAAAGAAAAACAGTGGCCAAATAACTTTTTTTCTCTTGGAAACTTAGTTTACCTCTGAAATGGGAGTAACTCTCTTATCTTGCTGCCATATGAGATAAAAGGGGGTCTTGAATGGGTATGAGGGGGTCTTGAATGGGCTCCAGGGGCAGCCAGAGGCCAGGCCTTGCCCCAGCTTGGAGAGGAAGCCCCTGCTCTCTGAGCCCATCTGGGGCGAGGCCAAGTGCGTGCCGAGCGAGCAGGTGTGCCTTGAGGAGACGCTGTGCAGAGGGCGGGGCCACTGTTTGCCCGACCTGGTCTTATCAGATCCAGGCTGGCCGCAGCTTGGCCTGTGGAACAAAGAGGCTTTGAGAACCATGTTGGGGTGTGGGACATGGGGCCCAGCCTCAGGAGGCGCATTCCATCCAGGGGGCATAGGGCATGGTGTGGAGAGACTGTTGCTGCCAACCTTCAACAGGGCGGTAACAGGCGCTCTCTTGGAGGAGGAGAATAAGGCCTCTATTCCTGGAGTCTGACTTCTTTGAGGGTGTTCCCTGCTCCTGCACTTCTCCCCGGTCTGCAGCTCCTCCCCCATTCCCATCTGGCACCTGTAGCCCCATCCACTCAGACTCCCAGTCCTAGGGTACACCCGACACTCGGCCTTCTAGCCTCTACTTCCAATAAGCCACTCACCTGCCCTTGGCCAAGTCACCCAGGCCCCAAAGGCCCAGCCCAAAGCCACCCTGTCGACAGTCACTGATCATCCCGCCCCCACCTGTTTTTAACGCCTTGATGTTTCCTCCGGTGGAGCGTCTCTCTGAACTTTCATCTCTCGGGAGTCGAGTCAGCCTGGCAGAGGCCCAAACCCAATGGGGTTACCGAGGTTGTACAAGTTGTGCACTGCACAAGGGCTCTAAGCTGAGTGGCCAAGGGATGGAAAACCAGCTGTGCTGCCAAGTGTGCCCCAAGTGAGGTCCTCTCCCAAATGGGGCCCTGCTTTCTAGCACACCAGAACCCAAGAGTTGCCTTTTCTAGTTGGATCTCCCAAAGGGGCATTTTGCTACATTATATTCAGAGGAGGGTGCAGGTACCAGCTAGCCAAGCACCTGACTGCCAAGGATTGTGGCATCGGCTTCACTCTTCCCAACACAGCAACAGTGCTGCCAGAAACCAACCCACCTGGCTGCACCTTCAGGCAACTCCTGGGGAAAGGACTAGCACAGCCCATGATATCTAGACAGCCACGCCCAGCCATGATGGGTCTTCCCGATGGACAGCCATGCCCAGCCGTGATGGGATCTTCCCAATGGGCAGTCATGCCCAGTG